GATGAGACCTACACAATCTTGTTATTTTCAACGAATTCCAACCAATTTTAGAGAGTTTCTTCAAAAGAACCTGTTACAGATGTGTTGCTCGGATTTCTCGCTATGCTCTTTGATAACGATGATATACTTTGAATTGGACCGTTTTTTTCTTTATGCATAAGTGATTATAAAAATTTGGGGCCTGGCAAAATGTTGACGCATTTCATAAGTGAGTGATGTTGGCTATGGGCAACACTTCCTCAAGACTTCTCTTGAATCCCAATTTCATCAAGTACTCATCAATTCTGCTGTACCATGCTCTAGGGGCCTGTTTTAGGCCATATAAAGCCTTTTTAAGCAAATACACGTCATCTTCTTGCCCTTTCACAATGAAACCTTCGAGTTATTCAACATAAATCTCCTCTTCCAATAAACCATTTAAGAATGCTGACTTAACATCAAGTTGATAAACTTTCCAACCCTTTTGTACCGCTATTGCAAGCATAAATCTGATTGTGTCTAATCTGGCAACAGGAGCAAAAGTGTCAGAAAAATCAACACCAAAAATTTGAGCATACCCTTTTACAACAAGTCTCGCATTATGCTTGTTGATTGAGCCATCAGGATTCAACTTTGTTCCAAATACCCACTTCACACCAATCACTTTTCTATTTGTGGGTCTTCTCACCAACTTCCACGTTTCAGTTTTTTCAATCATTAAGAGTTCTTCTTTCATTGCTGCAATCCATTTGGAGTCTTTTTCTGCTTCCCAAAAATCTGTTGGTTCAAGTACAGCCACATTACATCTTTTAAAAAATAAAACAGAAATTAAATGAAAGAGTAAATTGTTGTAACTGCTGCTGCAACTGAAGTATAACTTTAACAATTTTCTTTTGTTATGTTTACTGTAATGTAAATGATGTAAGGTGTAGGTTGTTGTGGACAGAATTATAGACATTATTCTGCTTTCCTTTTGTTCTCTCTGCTTTGTATATATTGTTTAGACTTGTTTGAACCAACGGTATTGTAGTAGTAAACTGATAGCTAGAGTAACATTTTCTAAATTCAATACTTGTCAATTTCAGGAGAGGCAGTGGGGGACAAGGTTTTATGAGTGGTGCCGGAGAAACTGAGCTTCAGCTTCAGCGACGAAGGTATGACTGTCATATTAATTTTTTTGCATACTATACTCTTAAGGATGTATTTCTTGTTTTCCCAGTAAATCTCATGGTTTCCTGGTGTTATTTGCATAGTTATTTTTCAATTTCTCATTGCATCACGCCATTACAAATTGTCACTGTAATTTTCTTGGTCCAAATAACATTTCAAAGGGGTGAATTATGAGACTTTAATTTACATTGAATTAAAGTTCAATTCTGCTAAGCACAGTTCAAACTGAGTGTCACTATATATATAAATCACAAGTATGGAATATGATCTCTTTATGTGAAATCTAATAGTTTTTGTGATGATTTTATGTTGTGCAAAATTGAATCACTAAAGTGTAAAATACCTTCAGAATATTAGAGAGGAGAAATTATTTAATATCTCAAATTGAAGAGGTACGCCGCACCAGGGCTTTGCAGCGTGCTGGTCGCAGGAGGCGTGGAGGTTCATCTGGACAAGGCTTAGCCACTGTTGCTGTTGTTGGATATACAAATGCTGTAAGTGGTCTCAATATTATGTATTTGGTACTTATTTTAACCAGAAGCTTAACTTCTATGCCTTTCTACATGTTTTTATCAGGGAAAATCTACATTAGTAAGTAGGTTATCAGGCAGTGATCTCTATAGTGACTGTAGGTAAAATAACCTTCACCACTACCCTTGTGCACTTACATCGACTAATTCTAATATAATTTTTAATGCTTTTATTTTCACATTAAATACTTTAATGGCATTACATGAATTGCAGATTGTTTGCCACAGTTGATCCTAGAGTAAGAAGTGCAGTTCTTCCGTCGGGGTAATTTTACCATTTTTTTCTAATCTCAGCTGCAGTACCCTCCATTTTGTACATTGGCTAGTAGTGTTGAATACATATGCTTAACTATCCTAAATTCTTAATTTTTTCTTTCAGAAAGAAAGTGCTTTTCAGTGACACAGTAGGATTCATATCTGACTTGCCTGTACAGGTAACGTCGAAACATGAGCAAATTGTCGTATCAGCCCTGATTATTTTTGTCAATAATATTCTTCGACACTCTTCTGTGACAATATTCTAATTTAACCTTTTTTCTCCTTTAATTTTTGTAGTTGGTGGAAGCATTTCATGCAACACTAGAAGAAGTGGTGGAAGCAGACCTGCTTGTGGTATGATTTTCAATTCCTTTTAGTTTCTTGAGAACAGAAGTGGTATTTAGCGTGTTTTGCAACTCGTCTGATTTTATTTCTGATACCAGTCTCATAATTTCACAAATCTCTTCTTTTATCCCTTAAATAAACAAATAGGAGAAAAAGAAAAGGCAAACATTAAAAATGAACGGTAATAAAAAGATGGTGATTGCATTAAAGATTTTCATATTATGAGTTCTTTTTCTACAAGTATCGCTGATATTCATATTCATGGACTGTTACTTTCTGTACAGTATGAATAAGTGTGCATTTAAGACTCGTTTTTTGTCTTTATAGTAACTATTGCTCTGAAAATTACAAAAGCAAACTATTTAGAATTTAGTCTTTTATTTAGTAATTGACAAGTCAACTGTTAAATTTATTGTTCCTTGAAGCATGTTGTAGATTCAAGTGCTCCCAATCTTGATGAGCATCGCACAACAGTGTTACAAGTTCTTCGACAAATAGGAGTGTCAGAAGAGAAGCTTCGGAATATGATTGAAGTTTGGAACAAGGTGATACAAGTATATAACTCGTCTACTCATTTACCAAATTTCAAGAAACAACTGTTGACTTTATATCTCTTTTCACTCAATCTCTGAAAATGTTCAGATTGATATGGAAGAAGAATGCATGGACGTTGATGAATATGTTGTTGATGAAGATGAAGAAGGCGTCGAGGTAGAAGATGATGTGAAATCTGAATTATTAGCAGAAAATGAAGGCATGAAGGAGGTTGGTTTTGAGGCCATGGAAGAAAAAGAATATTCTGATGGTTGGTTATATGATGATGATGATGATTTGGGCGATGAAGGGGACCGACTAAATCAGTCCATTGAAAAGCACAGTGGTCTGGACAAAGAATCTGGTCCACATGTGAAAACATCTGCTATCACAGGAGTTGGGTTGCAAGAATTGCTCGAATTAATAGATCAGAAACTTTGTGTTCAGAACAATAAGGGTGCACAGGTGGTTGGAAGAAGCATCTATGAACGAAAATGGAGGCCTTCCCACAATCAGGAGTCTGGCATAGCAGTGGAACAGTAGATAGGATTCTGTACTGTCTTTCCTTGCTTCCTTCCCATGTCCAAGTTTGATCATCAAAAACTAGTGAATTGTGATCGAGGGACACAATATTGCCTCTACAATCCATCCAGATGCTGCTCATGCCACAATCTTCCATTAATTTAGCACTTCAAATTTTAATAAAGTTGATGTAATGAGTTACACAAGTTATACACTTCCTGCCAAAAAGGAAAAATAGGTCCATTGGTGTATAATTGAAGTAATAATAGCAGAATAGTGGTACACAATTAACCATAGTTTCATTCATTTTTTGAAAGGATTATTACACTGCAATTTTGTATACACAACAGAATCACTGATGTAAACGTCATTGCTTATCACCTTTCGATTAGCTCGATGTAATTTATCTCTGTTTAAAATTCAATTATATTATATTTGATTACGCAATAATAGCAAAGAATGATGGAACAACAAAAAAAAAAACTGATATATCATTAAAGATTTTTTCATGAAATTAACTGTTATAATCCTGCAAATTCTGGTATATAAGAGGAATTGACTCTACAAAACAAAATGCAATTAAAATATAAAATGAAAAATGAAAAAATTTCCGTTGCCGGGAATCGAACCCGGGTCTCCTGGGTGAAAGCCAGATATCCTAACCGCTGGACGACAACGGATTTTTGATAGAAGTTTGTCCATTAATTTATTTGACCAAGCTACTATCTTTCAGGATAAATTAAATTTTTTGATAATAAAAATCAATACTAGGGTGGATTTGATATTCATTAATTGACACTAAAATATCCTATTATCATAAAGAACTATATATTAATATAAAGTATAACCTCCCCATTTAATGCCTTATTATTTAAATTTACTACTAACCTAGTAGGATTAGTAGTATAACTAGGTATATGAACACATTATCAGCAGCATATCAAGATAGAATTACTTTTAAAATTAAATGAAAACATAAGAAACTACACTTAAGCAAATCAGTACGTAGTGAAATTCATGTATACGAAATAAAATTTATAATAATTTTAAACTTCATAAAGCACATAAAAGATAATTTTAAACTCTAGAAAAGCACAGAAAAAATAATTTTAAAATTTAGAAAGCACACTAAATTAATTTTAAACTTCAGAAAGCACACAAAAATAATTTTAAACTTCAAAAAACACATAATAAAATAATTTTAAACTTCAAAAAACACATAATAAAATAATTTTAAACTTCAAAAAACACATAATAAAATAATTTTAAACTTCAAAAAACACATAATAAAATAATTTTAAACTTCAAAAAACACATAANAAGAGTTCTTCTTTCATTGCTGCAATCCATTTGGAGTCTTTTTCTGCTTCCCAAAAATCTGTTGGTTCAAGTACAGCCACATTACATCTTTTAAAAAATAAAACAGAAATTAAATGAAAGAGTAAATTGTTGTAACTGCTGCTGCAACTGAAGTATAACTTTAACAATTTTCTTTTGTTATGTTTACTGTAATGTAAATGATGTAAGGTGTAGGTTGTTGTGGACAGAATTATAGACATTATTCTGCTTTCCTTTTGTTCTCTCTGCTTTGTATATCTTGTTTAGACTTGTTTGAACCAACGGTATTGTAGTAGTAAACTGATAGCTAGAGTAACATTTTCTAAATTCAATACTTGTCAATTTCAGGAGAGGCAGTGGGGGACAAGGTTTTATGAGTGGTGCCGGAGAAACTGAGCTTCAGCTTCAGCGACGAAGGTATGACTGTCATATTAATTTTTTTGCATACTATACTCTTAAGGATGTATTTCTTGTTTTCCCAGTAAATCTCATGGTTTCCTGGTGTTATTTGCATAGTTATTTTTCAATTTCTCATTGCATCACGCCATTACAAATTGTCACTGTAATTTTCTTGGTCCAAATAACATTTCAAAGGGGTGAATTATGAGACTTTAATTTACATTGAATTAAAGTTCAATTCTGCTAAGCACAGTTCAAACTGAGTGTCACTATATATATAAATCACAAGTATGGAATATGATCTCTTTATGTGAAATCTAATAGTTTTTGTGATGATTTTATGTTGTGCAATATTGAATCACTAAAGTGTAAAATACCTTCAGAATATTAGAGAGGAGAAATTATTTATTATCTCAAATTGAAGAGGTACGCCGCACCAGGGCTTTGCAGCGTGCTGGTCGCAGGAGGCGTGGAGGTTCATCTGGACAAGGCTTAGCCACTGTTGCTGTTGTTGGATATACAAATGCTGTAAGTGGTCTCAATATTATGTATTTGGTACTTATTTTAACCAGAAGCTTAACTTCTATGCCTTTCTACATGTTTTTATCAGGGAAAATCTACATTAGTAAGTAGGTTATCAGGCAGTGATCTCTATAGTGACTGTAGGTAAAATAACCTTCACCACTACCCTTGTGCACTTACATCGACTAATTCTAATATAATTTTTAATGCTTTTATTTTCACATTAAATACTTTAATGGCATTACATGAATTGCAGATTGTTTGCCACAGTTGATCCTAGAGTAAGAAGTGCAGTTCTTCCGTCGGGGTAATTTTACCATTTTTTTCTAATCTCAGCTGCAGTACCCTCCATTTTGTACATTGGCTAGTAGTGTTGAATACATATGCTTAACTATCCTAAATTCTTAATTTTTTCTTTCAGAAAGAAAGTGCTTTTCAGTGACACAGTAGGATTCATATCTGACTTGCCTGTACAGGTAACGTCGAAACATGAGCAAATTGTCGTATCAGCCCTGATTATTTTTGTCAATAATATTCTTCGACACTCTTCTGTGACAATATTCTAATTTAACCTTTTTTCTCCTTTAATTTTTGTAGTTGGTGGAAGCATTTCATGCAACACTAGAAGAAGTGGTGGAAGCAGACCTGCTTGTGGTATGATTTTCAATTCCTTTTAGTTTCTTGAGAACAGAAGTGGTATTTAGCGTGTTTTGCAACTCGTCTGATTTTATTTCTGATACCAGTCTCATAATTTCACAAATCTCTTCTTTTATCCCTTAAATAAACAAATAGGAGAAAAAGAAAAGGCAAACATTAAAAATGAACGGTAATAAAAAGATGGTGATTGCATTAAAGATTTTCATATTATGAGTTCTTTTTCTACAAGTATCGCTGATATTCATATTCATGGACTGTTACTTTCTGTACAGTATGAATAAGTGTGCATTTAAGACTCGTTTTTTGTCTTTATAGTAACTATTGCTCTGAAAATTACAAAAGCAAACTATTTAGAATTTAGTCTTTTATTTAGTAATTGACAAGTCAACTGTTAAATTTATTGTTCCTTGAAGCATGTTGTAGATTCAAGTGCTCCCAATCTTGATGAGCATCGCACAACAGTGTTACAAGTTCTTCGACAAATAGGAGTGTCAGAAGAGAAGCTTCGGAATATGATTGAAGTTTGGAACAAGGTGATACAAGTATATAACTCGTCTACTCATTTACCAAATTTCAAGAAACAACTGTTGACTTTATATCTCTTTTCACTCAATCTCTGAAAATGTTCAGATTGATATGGAAGAAGAATGCATGGACGTTGATGAATATGTTGTTGATGAAGATGAAGAAGGCGTCGAGGTAGAAGATGATGTGAAATCTGAATTATTAGCAGAAAATGAAGGCATGAAGGAGGTTGGTTTTGAGGCCATGGAAGAAAAAGAATATTCTGATGGTTGGTTATATGATGATGATGATGATTTGGGCGATGAAGGGGACCGACTAAATCAGTCCATTGAAAAGCACAGTGGTCTGGACAAAGAATCTGGTCCACATGTGAAAACATCTGATATCACAGGAGTTGGGTTGCAAGAATTGCTCGAATTAATAGATCAGAAACTTTGTGTTCAGAACAATAAGGGTGCACAGGTGGTTGGAAGAAGCATCTATGAACGAAAATGGAGGCCTTCCCACAATCAGGAGTCTGGCATAGCAGTGGAACAGTAGATAGGATTCTGTACTGTCTTTCCTTGCTTCCTTCCCATGTCCAAGTTTGATCATCAAAAACTAGTGAATTGTGATCGAGGGACACAATATTGCCTCTACAATCCATCCAGATGCTGCTCATGCCACAATCTTCCATTAATTTAGCACTTCAAATTTTAATAAAGTTGATGTAATGAGTTACACAAGTTATACACTTCCTGCCAAAAAGGAAAAATAGGTCCATTGGTGTATAATTGAAGTAATAATAGCAGAATAGTGGTACACAATTAACCATAGTTTCATTCATTTTTTGAAAGGATTATTACACTGCAATTTTGTATACACAACAGAATCACTGATGTAAACGTCATTGCTTATCACCTTTCGATTAGCTCGATGTAATTTATCTCTGTTTAAAA